AGGCTAGCGCTCTACCACTTGAGCCACAGCACCACTTCCGGCTTTTTTCTTTTTGCTTATGTGGTGCTGAGGAATTGAACCCAGGGCCTCTGGTATGCAAAATAAGCGCTGTACCACTGAGCCACCTTCCCAGCCCTGGAGTTCTTATTGATAAATGCATATATACCTTTTCTGATGAAAGTTTGTGGTATTTCATTTTAATACCGAAGTATTTTTTAAACAATCATTTTATTGTTGCTGATTTTTAAAAATCATTTTATTGTTAAGGCGGTCTTCAGAGGGGTTACCATTTCAAAAGTCAGGCAATGAATACATGTCATTTTGGACAATGTCACCCCTTCCTTTGCTTTTCCTGTTACTCCTTTGGTTAATTTTTTGTTGTTGTTGTTGGTTGTGGGGCTTGAACTTTGGGCCTGAGAGCTGTCCCTCAGCTCTTCAGCTCAAGGCTAGTGCTCTACCACTTGAGCTACAGCGCCACTTCTGGTTTTCTGATGGTTTATTGGAGATAAGAGTTTCACAGACTTTCCTGCCTGGGCTGGTTTTGAACTGCGATCCTCAGATCTCAGCCTCCTGAGTAGCTAGGATTACAGCCATGAGCCACTGGCGCCTGGCCCTTTGGTTAATTTTTATGTATCAATTCTGTAGTCTATGATCTTGCTCAACTTGATAATTAATTCTATTTTTTTTGTAAATTCTTTAGCATTCACATATAAGATTGTATGATTAGCAAATAAAGACATGTTTACTTCTTCATCTCCAAAAAAAACCAAAACAATCATTTTATTATACAACTCTGTGAACAGAAAATCAACAGAAATATACAGTATGCTCACTTACACGTGTGACTTTACATTTTATGCTAGATACTTTTTACAGTTAATACTGAGTTTAATTTTAAAGTTCATATCTATGTATAACCTTATTACATTAAGGGCAAATTTTATATGGAGAGGTTCATAGGCAGTCCACATTAAACATTATCAGTATATCCAAAGTCTATACCTCAGCCATGGATGCATCTTTCCTGATTCCATAGATTTAGATTTCTTTACAGTTTAAGCTTATTTGCTATTTTGGATGCAGTGTTCTTTTTTTATTTCGTCGGTCATGGGACTTGAACTCATGTCCTGGGCTCTGTCTCTGAGCTCTTTCACTCAAGGCTGGTACTCTGTCACTTTGAGCCACAGCATCATTTCCAGTTTTCTGGTGGTTAATAGGAGATAAGAGTTTCATGGATTTTCCTGCAGGGCTGGCTTTGAACTGTGATCCTCAGATCTCAGCTACCTGAGTAGCTAGGATACAGGCATGAGCTTCCAGCTTCCAGTAAATGCAGTGTTCTTAAGGGCAATAGACGTCCAGATAATTGCTTGAAACAGACTCCATTAAGTGACAGTCATGGCAACTTGCAGACTTCCAGAAGCATTTTTTTAGATAATTATTTGGAAACTATTATTTATGATTTTTTTTTTTTTTT